GAACTATAAAGGTCCTTTTGTTATAAAGCTACAAGCCATTAAGGGGTGACTGTTGTGGAGATCCCAGCTCTACCCATGTCCATTATGAGCTCTCTTTATTTTTATAACATGCGTTACCATATAAAATAACTCTCCCAGAGCAGTTTCTGCAAGGAGGTGTGTTGAGCTGATATCACACCGAGTAGCAAGCTGATTGTTAACTCCACCGAGAACTTAAAAGTTCGTACAGAAACAGGCTCCACTGCCTACTTCTGTATATCTGCATTTACAATGGGAACTTTGTCACGGTGTACTACTATATAAACTCTGTATTTAGGAGTCAGTAACTAGTGCTTTCCCCTGTTCATCTTTCCCCGGCTTGTTTAAAGCAACACTCTTCAGTAATATTACAAGAACCATTGCAGATTACAGACAGTATTATATAAAGTAATGCTTAAGTGGTCCATTATCTTTAACAGGCCGAACATAGCCCATGCAAATGTTAAAGGGGAGTTAACCAAGGGTCCCTGCTGCAATTTCAAACAGATCTGCAAACACGGACTGCACTATATTAACAGATAACTATGCTAAAGCTTCTTCCCATTCCAGTCTCTGGGTTGCAAAGATTCCCCAAAAGATGCAACTTGAAAACTATTTACCAGTATTTTCAACTTGCCGTTCCTCTTTTGCAAGTTATGGTTCTATCCGGTTATACTTGTCTCCAAAGAGAAGACTATATAATGTACTATATTCAAAATGTGCCTTTAGTAAGTCATTGGGGGAGGAAAAAAAACACATTTATTAACCACAAAGCACAGCACGGAAAGTTTAAAACACAAAAAAATTATCAAACTAAAGAACATATTTTATTTTTAATAAAATAGTGGAGCATGAAAAATAATTGTATATTACACATATATACAGCAAATAATTGCGCCCACAGCACAGTAAAGAGCATCACTCTATACAAAGCTTCCCTTTGCAGAATCTAGTGCTTCTTGATCTATTCATGGTGAGAATTTGTTTAACAATAGAAAGAGTCAATAAGCCCTTTGGGTCTCTTTGAATTGATTCCCCCCTTTTTTTTTGCACAAATCAGTCCAAACGTGTATAACATTGGCTTGATTTCCATTAAAAAGCCACAAAATGTAACACTAAAGGGTTTCTGAGGACTAGACCTCTTAGTTCTTTTGTTAAGGGATTTCTTTTGTTGTCTTTATGTACAGCAAAATACTTGTTTCTCTTTTCATGTCATGGTAAGGAAAAAAAATGTATTGCACATTATTCTTATTCACAAAGTTTGTCTGGTGCAGGAAGTTTCTCTTTTAGTAAAAGCATATTGGTGAGCCTTGTAGATTGAGCCCAGTTTTAGGCACTCCAAACCCACTAAACTGAGAAGCGTTGGAAAGGCTCTCTCTCTTTTTTTTTTTTAAGTTCGCACACAAGTTGCCTGCACAGACAGCAGTGCACACTTACTGAGCGCAGGCCTCGGTGGAACCGTTCGTTTCCCCAAATGACAATTTCTCAAGCAGGCCCTTGGAAAGCAAAATAGGAGCTCCATAAAACTTGACTCTACCTCGTTTCTCAGAAAGCTGTAAGAAAGCCAGCTCAGCTACAGAAAGTTAAACAACATCAGAGGGCTGGATGAAGGATCTTAGTCTAACTTAGTAACAGAAGAGGCTGCTTACACTGACGATATTCCTTTCACTGAAAACATTTCCCTAAGTAGATTTACCTGCAGCTTATCACGAATTTCAGTGGGATACATTTTGCCTTGCTCTGACAAAAAGCACCAATTCTTATTTTCAATTGCGGGTTGCTACAGTGGCCGTTTGTAACTCTCTACAGGCTGAGACCCTTTTCTACACAGCCCGTTCATACACAGGTGGGTGGCTGCAATGCAGATTCATATTTTGCATGGTGGGTTTTCTGGGGATGCTGAGGTTTTTTGTAGATCCCGCTACTGGTAATAACACTTGCAGGTTTTCTCCGACTTCTCTTCTTTAGTCTTCGACTGCAAACATTTTGCCAGGACTGAAGAGTCTTTGAAGTCCAGATCCACATCCCGCTAGTAATGCCCACAACCAGCAACATGAAAATTTTGACCATAAAAATTTCGACTGCCGGGATGGAGTTGTTCATCGTGCAGTCTAAATTTTTAGTCTGATTGTTCATCTTGCATTTCTGTTGAGTTGCCACAATTTTCCAATAATCCATGTTAAGTCTTTCATAAAAGTAGCAAGCTATCACGCAAGTGGCAGGCACCGTATACAAGACTGAGAAGACACCAATCCGGACCATAAGTTTCTCCAGCTTATCTGTGTTCTCTCCGCCGGTTTTCATCACCCTCCTGATGTGGAAGAGGGCCACAAAACCAGAGAGAATAAAAGACGTGCCAATGATTAGGTAACAAGCTAAAGGGATGAGTACAAATCCCGTCAAGGCGTTCACATCCATGCTTCCGACGTAGCACAGTCCTGTCAGCTCGTCTCCAGCTACCCTTCTCATAACTAAAATCATGATGGTCTTCACAGCCGGGATAGCCCAGGCTGCCAAATGAAAGTAGCTGCTATTGGCCTCAATGGCTTCATGCCCCCATTTTTTCCCAGCAGCCAGAAACCAAGTCAAAGTCAAGATGACCCACCACAAGGAGCTCGCCATCCCGAAGTAATAGAGCACCAGGAACACGATGGTGCACCCGGTGCTCTCCAAGCCCTCTTGGATCACGTAGAGTTGGCCGCTGTCTCTGTCACAGGCGATGCTCTCGGCGCCCGAGAAGAGGCGGATGATGTACCCCACCGAGTAGACGCAGTAGCACATGGACAGGAAGATGATCGGCCTCTCGGGGTACTTGAAGCGCTGGGGATCGATCAGGAAAGTGAGGACGGTGAAGGCGCTGGAGAAGAAGCACAGGATGGACCAGATGGCAATCCAGATGGCGGCGAACTGCTTGTCCTCCCTGCTCCAGTACACGTCCACCCCCGGCCTGCAGAGAGGGGCGCAGGAGGCGCTCTTCTCCACGTGGTGGAACTTGCCCGGGTTGTCGCAGGAGCCCCGGCTGAGGCTGTCCTTGGGCTGCGGCAAGTCGTGAGCGCCGCTGGGCCTCTGCGGCCTGAACATGGGCGGCAACATGCTGGAGCCCCGGGGCGGCTCCTCCGACCCGTTGCTGGGGGCTTCCATGCACAGGTAGTTGGGGTCGTTCTTGTTGGGCAGCTTGCCGCAGTCCAGGGAGTCGGGCCACTTGAAGTTGAACTGCTCCATGATGGGGGAGCACTTGAGCCGGGCCTGCTCGCACATGACCCGGCAGGCCGGGATGGGCGTGGACACCTGCTCGGTGCACATGGGGGCGTAGAGGGAGCAGAGGA